ATTACCGTAAACAAGGCCGCAGATTCAACAGACTCGCCCAGATGCAAATCAAACTCACCAAGAGTACCCAACATCTCTCATTCCCGAATGGGGATACAAGCCACACTGCTAATAGATTTCCAACTCAAGGCATCGGCCACAACATTGGCCTTCATCGAATGATAATGTAACTCGAAATCATAATCCTCTATGAATTTCATCCACCTCCTCTACCTCAAATTCAAGTCCTTCTGTGTAAACAGATACTTCAAACTCTTATGATCAGAAAACACCTTAAATCTCTCACCGTACAAATAGTGCCTCCACATCTTTAAGGCAAATATCACCGCCGCTAATTCTAAGTCGTGAGTAGAGTAATTCCTCTCATGTGTTTTTAACTGTCGTGAGCCATAGGCTACCACTTTCCCCTCTTGCATCAAAACACAACCCAAACCTTCCCGTGAAGCATCACAATACACTGAATAACCCAAACCCCTCTCCGGAATAATCAAGACTGGAGCAGCGGTGAGTCTAACCTTAAGTTCCTAGAACGACTTCTCATAAGTCTCATCCCACACAAATTTGACTCCCTTCCTCGTTAGCCTAGTTAACAGTGAAGCTAATCTAGAGAAATCATTCACAAACCTCTGATAATACCCGGCCAATCCCAGGAAGCTATGGATCTCAAAAGCATTCTTAGGTTATGCTCAATCTTGCACTGCCTCTATCATGGATGAATCTACAGTCACCTCTTCCCCGAATACCACATGGCCTAAGAATTTAACTTCTCTCAGCCAGAATTCACATTTCCCAAATTTAGCATACAGCTTATGGGTTCTCAGCAACTCAAGCACCACTCACAAGTGTTCCTCGTGTTCCTCCTTAGACAGTGAGTAAATCAAGATGTCATCACAAAGACAACCACAAAACGGTCTAGAAACTCACGGAAGATTCGATTCATCAAATCCATAAATACAGCTGGAGCATTGGTTAGCCTAAAAAGCATCACTAGGAACTCGTAATGGCCATACCATATACGGAATGTCGTTTTCGGGATATCCTCCTCTCTTACCCTCAACTGATAGTAACCCGACCTCAGGTCTATCTTAGAGAAGCAACAAGATCCCTTCAACTGATCAAACAGGTCATCTATACAAGGCATTGGGTACTTGTTCTTGACAGTTACCCGGTTCAACTTCCGCTAATCACTACAAAGTCGTAACGCTCCATCTTTCTTCTTAGCAAAGAGAGACGGTGCTCCCCAAGGTGAAGTACTAGGGCGGATAAAACCCTTATCTAACAATTCATGAAGTTGAATCTTCAACTCACTCAACTTAGCAGGTGCAAACCGATACGATGCCATAGAAATCGATGCCGTGCCAGGCACTAAGTCAATAGGGAACTCAATCTCTCGATGAGGTGGTAAACTAGTAAGGTCCTCGGGAAAGACATCGGGGTATTCACAAAGCACCCTTGGCAACTTGACTCGAACCTCATCACACTCACTACTCAAAAATCTAGCAAAGAGACAACTAAGTTCGCTCCGCCCACGTGGAACATATACCGATGATAAGACTCTATCCACCCAGTCTCCTAAGAAATAAAAGTAGTCGCCGCTCGAGGTACATACAGTAACCCTCTGCCAGTAGTAATCTATAACAGCCCGGTATGACGATAACCAGTCCATACCCAAAATGACATCAAAACTAGACATGTCAAGCAATACAAATGCAAAAGGTAGTCGACAACCGGCAATCTCGATGTCGCAACCCTGACACCCCTGTCCCAGAATAACTTCACCACCAATAGGTGACTCTACATAAATAGGAGATGCTAACTGTGCCAACTCTAACCCCAAAATCAATGCAAATGTAGACGAGATAAAAGAATGGGATACACACATATCAATCAACACATTAGCAACTGAATTACAAAACGAAAAGGTACGTCTCACTATAAATGGAGCTAGTACAAGATCTAGCTCGGTAACAGCATACACATACCCTATTGGCCTCTGATCTACTTGCTCACCCCTCAAAGCATAAGCCTACTTCACGAATTGAGCTGAAGAGGCTCCCTGATTGGCCCTCAAGGCCTGTGCCGACTGTGCTAGCTGATGACTCTGTGTCTACCTCGAACCAAATGTACCAGACGTGCCATCCAACTGTGGGCAAAACCTCTTCAGGTGCCCCGCCTGCCCACACTAATAACAAGTAGGCAGTTGCCCCCATCCTGATTCTGGCCCTGAGATTTAGCCGAAGACGAAGTTTCTCGTTGCTCGCTGTCCTCCTCCTCTCTGCGGGCAAGCTGGAGACTTGTGGCCCAACTGACCACACTTAAAAACAAGTTACATCCCCCTGACCACCTCTTTCAGAACCTAAACTCGGCACTGGAAAAGTGGACCTCGACTGAGCTTCCTGGGACGACTGGGGGTTAGAACCCCTCTGCCTCTTACCGTCTCCCTGACTATCCTAACTCCTCATGGAGCCCCTCATCCTTTCCTCCTCTTCCTGCATGATAGTATCAAGATGGGTCGCTGCCTTCACAAGGCGCCCATAGTCTCTAATCAGAGACCCGGCAACTCTAAACATGAGCCCGATCCTCAGCCTCTTCTTAAATTCCAAACAATGACGCTCCTCAGTCGCCACCAACTCAGGTGCAAACCTAGAGAGGCTAGTGAATGTGGCTTCAAACTCAACCACTAGTGTGTTCAACTGCACCAACTTAGAGGACTGGTCTCTCAACTTCTCTATAGCCGTGGGAGGTAGAAACTTGTCCTGGAAGGCGTTGACAAAAGCTTCCCATGTCCCTCTAATGCGTCCCTGCACACAATTTCACCACTGACCTGCATCCCCCTTCACCTAGAAAGATGCCAAGGTCACCCTCGACTGGTCGTCCTTGATGCCAAGCATCTCGAACGTCTTCACTCTTTGTTCAAGCTACTCATCTGCCTTCAATGGCTCCTTTGAGTCACCCAAAAACTCATCCAGATTAGACCGGAAAAACTCTCTCTTCAAAAAGCATGGCCCTGCTTCCGTTACCTAGACCTGGACTAGATTCTCAACCCTGAGAATGTCCATGGATTCCCACAAAGCTCCAGCCATTTCGCGTGCTAAGACGCACATGGCCTGTTGACGTACTGGCTCGGCCACGTTAGCCTGACCAACCCCTTCCTCCTGTGCCAAAATTTTATCTGGTATAGGCATCTCGTGCGTTATAGGCCTACCACGCCTACCACCACCGCGTCCTCATCCTTACATCCGAATAAAGGTAACAAGAAAGGTTAGCACATTTACGAATGTGCTGAAACTAACTCACTCGCGTCCTAATAAGTTGGACAACAGTAATTCACTCCACATAAGCATATAATCACGTAAACACATACGAATTTCCTTCCTAGATAAAGATTGTCTCGCGGCATTGCTAGAGTTCCAATTAGAAACAGTAGTGATCAAGTGCTCTTCTCATAGGACTTCTAGAAACCCGTAGACCTAATTAATATCTTAGGAACTAAATCCCATGCCCAAGTAATCACACAAGCATGTTATTATACAAGCACATATCATTCACACTTAAGTTTCTAATAAGCGAGACAAACCCATTGTGGTGCTAACCACTTCCTACATACCCAAAGTATTCAAACCCGGTACACTCTGATACCAAGTTGTAACGCCCCCAAAATTATATAATAAATACAACCCAAAAGCATGTATATATATAACTACATAAATTGGAGTAATAGTCCTTTCACTACATAAAGTTAATGATACAAAAGAGTTTAACATAAATAAATGCCCTTCAAGCTTACACCTTTCTAAGTCTTGACTTGGTTACAATAAAAGGAGACTAGCTCATACAAATTTAGCCCTAGGCTATACAAAAAAATAAAACAAAACGAGAAGCTCTTGCTTCCCAAAGATCCCTCTAATGCTATTGCATTGGTGGAGGCATGCCATCATTACCTGAAAATATTTTTCCCCAAATAGGGTGAGCCACGGCCCAGTAGGAATAATCTAGCACAATATATGAGATTTGACAAAGATATACGTGAAATGTGCATATACAATGCCCGGAATAAAACATTCATACTTTTATATTGCCATAGAATACCAATTTCATATTCCATTATACTTTCCTCCAATTCATTTCAAAATATATAAGTCAATTTCATTATTCCTCAATAGCCCAAATGAGACTACAACTCAAAGGTTCATCAATTTCACAATTTATACACAAACACTTCCAACTGCCATTTTACAGATATTTCGTCCGCGGGATTGGCACCCATGTATAGTTTTAATTTGCCATTTTATGAATATTTCGTCCGCGGGATCGGCACCCATGTATAGTTTCAATTTGCCATTTTACGAATATTTCGTCTGCGGGATTGGCATCCATGTATAGTTTCGGGACTTTCACCCAAGACACTTCGGCCAACTTAATTATAATGGAGTCCATCCCCTTTTTCCTCCCAAACAATTATACATATGCAATGTATTTAAACACATAATCACACATATGGAGTATATCTCCTTTCTCCTCCCAAATAATCATTCATATATAATATATTCACAGCATGATCATATTCAATGATAATCACCCATGGAGTAGTTTCAATTCACCTAACCCACATGCAATTTCTACAACAATCAAAGCTATCCTCTACCGATAGCCTAATACAGATATTTCTCACAACTAATAATTTTATTTTATTTTTTACTTTTACAAACATATCATATCCGTACCCGTATTCTATTTTGTAAAATTTTATCGTATAACCCTAACCACATTATATCGTACTTGTATCTCGTATCCATATCTATACTTCCTAACTTTGGATAAATTTAAATTTATTTATTTATTTATTTATTTAGAAGTAAGTAGGTTGTTGATGGCCTTAATTATTCGAAGAAGTTGAATGTAATTTCCACTCAAAAAGTTTGGAGATGCCTTATGAATGAGTCCCAATGTTGGACGGCACACTTGAAAAAGTTTGGAACCTGCTATTATTAAAATTTTTGGGGTAATTCTATTATTAAAATTTCACTACCAACTCTACTAGTATGCGTGAGGGTCTATATAATAACTTTGATCATTTGATCAGTTTACAAACAGCTCCCAAGAGGAAAACGACAATGGAAAATCTTCTTTCCATGGATCTTGCTAATCCAAGAACAATCTTAATTTCCTTATTAGTTCCTCTCTTCATCTTCCTCTTCGTGCTAGATCAGTTGGTCACTCTTCGTCGACGCAAACACAACCTCCCTCCTGGTCCACCAAAACTCCCATTCATCGGAAACATGTACCACCTAATCAGCCCGGCACCCCACCGCGCTCTCCGCGACTTAGCCTCCAAGTACGGCCCACTCATGCACCTCAAACTCGGCTTCATCTCAACAATCATAGTCTCTTCTGCTGAAGTAGCCATGGATATCATGAAAACCCATGACCTCATCTTCGCCAATCGCCCCAAACTTGTAGCTCCCAAAATTCTAGGCTACAACTATACTGATATTGCATTCGGTCCTTATGGCGCTTACTGGAGACAATTGCGAAAGATTTGCATTCTTGAGCTTCTAAGCGCGAAAAGGGTCAATTCTTTTAGGTTTGTCAGAGAAGAAGAGACAGCCCAGCTTGTTCGTACTATTGCATCAACATCCCCAGAACCGGTGACATTGGTTGAAAATCTTTTTGCTTCGAATCTTGATATCGTTACAAGAATCACTTTTGGTAAGAAACTTGATGAGCAGCACCGGTTTAGGGAGGCGATGAAAGAAGGGACAGCGTTGGCTTCGGGGTTTCAGATAGGGGATTTCTTTCCTTCTCTGGCGTTTATCGACCTGATCTGTGGAATGAAGAAGAGGTTGGAGAAGACATTCTTTGAGCTTAATAGCATTTTGAGTAGGGCGGTTCAAGAACATATTGATAGACGGAAAGTGGAGAAGCCGGAGCATGAGGATCTAGTTGATGTTCTGCTCCAGATCAAGGACAATGGAGGGCTTGAGGTGCCATTGACAGTTGACAACATCAAATCTGTCATCTTGGTTTGTGATTCTTCTACTTCCTCTCTACTCATTACTTAAAACTAATTCGGGATTAATTCTGTGTGTCAATTTCAAAAACCATATTTCGCTAATATGAACTTGAATTCAAACACTCATATACCAATCTAGATTTTAGGCTTCAATTTGGGCACAAAATTTTCCCAAATTCAAATTTTAATGAGTGTGGTATAATTGCTTGAAGTTAACAGAATTTCACAGTTCTAACTTCTTTTTTGTATTTGTTTAATTTTATTTCAGGACCTATTTGTAGGAGGGACAGAAAACTCTTCGAATTCAATAGAGTGGGCAATGACAGAGATGATAAAGAACCCAAGAGTAATGGTGAAAGCGCAAGCAGAGGTAAGAGAAGCTGTAGGCGGAAAGGCAACCGTGGAAGAGAGTGACCTCCACAAACTACACTATATGAAGATGGTGGTGAAGGAGACTTTTAGGTTTCATCCACCATTGCCATTTTTGCTACCGCGGGAGTCCATGGAAAAATGCGTGATCAATGGTTACGACATCCCAGCAAAGACTCGAACGATTATTAATTACTGGGCAATTTCTAGGGACCCAAACAGCTGGAAAAATCCAGAGAAATTTGAACCGGAAAGGTTTGAAGATGGTTCGGTGGATTTCAAGGGACAAAACTTCGAGTTTGTTCCATTTGGTGCAGGAAGGAGGGTTTGCCCGGGGATCTCATTCGGAACAGCGAATTTGGAACTTGCATTGGCAGCTTTGCTTTATCATTTCGATTGGAAGCTAGCTGATGGAATGAAAGCAGAAGATTTGGATGTGAATGAGACATTTGGGTTAACCATGTATAGGACTTCTTGTCTTCGCTTGGTTCCAACTATTCGATTCCCCGTACCCACTTAGCATATATGTATGTCTATGTTTGGGTTAATCAGTGTCCGAATCAGATTATGTGTATCTCGACCAATCATGAGATCTTAAAATTAACCACAATACAAATCTCGTGCCAAGGTTATGTTGTTGTTTAATATGTATGTTTGAATTTTAATATGTTGAACTGTATCTAGTAACTAGTTATTGGCAATCACAGTTTCTGTATCACATGTTACTTAAATTCATACAGTGTGCATATCCATAATGTTAAATATGATTGGGTACGACTTCATGTTGTAATTGATGAAAAAATTATCAAAACATAGTACGATTTCATTTAAGCTTTGCTTGTCCGCTGTAAATTATTTTTCATGTAAGATGATTTTTCTCAACAGTGTTTGGTTAATTAAAATATTTAATAAGAAGAAATTTACACTAGTGCACATCGTAAAAAAATTATAATTTTCTATGATGAACGTTATGATTATTTGTGATGGATATTATAACATTTCATAATAAAGTTATGAATAGCAAATTTATGATGTGCATCTTAAAATTAGAAATAATAATATGTTATGACACTTTGCGATTTTTTTTATGACATTTTGGAATTTTGTTATGATATTTTTCAATAAAAAAAAAGTTATGACTTTTGTAAGGAAAAAGTTATGACATTTTGTATTTAATTTATGAAATTTTGTAAAAAGTTATGGCATGCATACCATATGAACCTTTTTGAAGGCACACATTGTAACAATCTCCCAATAAATAAAGAACCAATTATAAGATGAAATATCATTTTGCCCTCCAAATTTTTACACATTTTTCAATTTGACCCCAGACTTCGTATAATATCAATTTGTCCTTTAAACCTTTGAAATTTTGATCAATTTGTCTCTTGCTATCACATTCCATCTACAATCAAATCGAACTTACTGACGTGACACCAAATTTCATTTAGGACTTTATTTTATCCCCAAACTATACCTGCAAATCAATTACCCCCCTCCCGAAATATTAAAAAAAGATTTAATTAATTTTTTATCTCAAAAATAATAATAATAATAAATTTTAAATAAAAAAAATTGAGTATTAGTCCTGTTTAGTATTCTTTAAACAGTAATTGAATTTAAAAAAATTTTCTCACTCAATTTCAAAATTACTATTAATCTATCAATTCTATTGAAATTAATTTGGGAAACAAACTAGTTACAATTCTACACGCGCACACATAGAGTAGCCAAGAAATTTTCAGCTCAATAAGTTTCTTCAGGATTGACTCGAGATAATTTGAGATCTATGAAGCACAAATACGAGAATAAGTACTGATATTGGTACGAAATGGGTACATTAATATGGTAAAATTCAAAAAAAGTAAGGTATGGATACGGCTTGATACATTTGTAAAAAAAATATTTATTTTTAATTTAGAGTAACAAAAAAATGATTAAATGGTTTAATTTGTTAAGATCTAACATATAATTGACATTTAATGCCAAAAGGTAAACCAAAATTAAATGTCATTATATTAAATAACTTATAAACCATAACTTAATTTGAAAATCATACTAAGTTTAACACTAAAAATAAATAAAAAAAAGAAATCTAGTCAAAGGAATTTAATCTTTGTAGTAGAAGAAAATTTTGTTTCGAGTGAAGTATGGCACGGCTTGGGTATATTAGGTATGTCTAGGTATGCTAAAAATAAAGAAGATAAATTTAAGTACATATGCCGGTCAGTATGCAGTACGAGTACAACATAATTGTCGAAGTACTATATTTTATCGTCTAAAGATAATTCTAAATGGGAATTTATGTTTTTTTTTTTTTTTTTTTTTTTTTGCAAAGTATATATTATTTGAAATTAAAATTTTTCATTATTGAGATAAAAAATTATTTATTAAATATTTAAATTTAATTTTTTTTACATTTGGAGGGCTAATTGAATTTGAAGGTATAGTTTGAGGGATAAAATTAAATTCGAAGTGAAGTTTGGTGCCAGGTCAGCAAGTTTCGTTTGATTATAGACGGAATGTGATAGCAGGGATTAAATTGATCAAAATTTCAAAAGTTTGGGTCCAATTGAAAAATGCATGAAAGTTTAGGGGGCAAAATGATATTTTCTCCAATTATAGAGTGAACTTTAAAAATAAAAAGAATAAAAAAAATGATATTTATACATAATTTTCATGTAGAATTGAACACAAATAATATGACAATGACACTCTTCCAATTATAAATTATAGTAATGAAAATTTTAACTTTCAATGAGTAGATTTAAATGTGGCACATCATTATATGTATATTTTTTCATATACAAATTTTGTTTGTATATCATTACTCAGGAATAAAACAAAACAAAGATTGAATGCAACAAAAATAATAATCACAAAACTTTATTCAGATCATTTGCTTAACCATAATATGCATATGTATAGGTATAAATTAGAAAATGATCCCTGCGACACACGAGAATTTATTTTTAAAATAAAAAATTAATTTTGAGTCTTAATACTTTATGTGTAGAGAATTTTAACAACTTAAAGCTAAATACAAATAGATTTGATAATAGTTGATGAAAATTGTTATCACTGTGTGTGAACCTATGGAAAATAGACTCATAAAAACAATCTATTTCAAAGTTTATAAAAATAAAAATAAAAAATATGTATTCTCAATCTAAAATCAAATTCTTATTTGTGTTAGTCAAATTTACCAAAAATCATTAATTCTACTTGTATCAAAATATTATTTTCCGAAAGGAAATAAAAACTCCACTCTATCATTTTCGATGAATCAATATTCTTTAATAATTCTTTGCACTATTTATCATTTGACATTTATCAATCTATCTTCTAAAAATATAATAAAAAAAAAATATTGAGTTATATTATTTTAATCAATTAATATCAATTTGAACGTTACACGTATATGTAAATCACTTCTAGAAATATGATGTCGGACACAAAATAACAATGAAGTTAACTTTAATTAATGTTAGGATATTTTATACTATGATATGTGTTACAAAAGAATAATATTAATTTAAATTTAAATTATCTATTTTAATAATCTTAGCATTGTCGTTCTATAAAAGTACTATTTGAATACTTATATATAATAAATTTAGTTAAATTATTTATTTTGATAATTTTAGTTTTATTGTGACATAAAAGTGTAATTATCATATAATGATTTTATATGATATATATTAAATTATAAGATAATAAAATAAACACTCATTTTGATATTAAAAATAATTGTTAAATTAGAAAGAGAATTAGTAATATAAAACTAAAATTTATTCTAATTATTTAATTTTACTTTTATTTTTATATTTATTTGAAAAATAAAAATATGTAGAAATAGAAGAATATAAAAATTTTTTAAAGAGTTAAATATAAATATGTTGTGATTGGATTAAAAAAAATATACATAAATTAAATATGTAGAGTATTGATTTTTTATTTAATATTCTCTTTGAATTATTCATACATATTGTATATAGATATATAAATTTTAAATTAAATATAAATATTTTGTAATAAATAATTTCATGTTAAATAAAAAAAATTAAATATAAATTAATATTAACACATCAATAAGTTAGACAAAAAATAAAAAATATAAAAAAAAATTAATTTGATTCGTGCAATACACATAATTAAGTACATTCTATCTGATTTATTTATTTATTTGTATATCGAGATAATTTTTTCTAAATATCATAATAATTAAATTAAAATATCAACTATATATATGAAAAAAAATAACAACGATAAAATTAAATACACAATGAAAAATAAGTATTTTTCCTATAGAGTCCATATAAAATTGTTTATTATAATTGAAATTGAATTTGTATAGAATTTTTTATGTAAATGGAAAAGGTACGGTGATGTGGGTTTTTTAGAAGAAAAAAAAAAAGTAAGGAAAAAACACTACATATATACACACACTATTAGGTAACCCATGCGAGTAAATCATTTGACGCTTTATAATGAAGAAAATTTAGTTAAAAAATATTTTATTTATTTTTTTATCCAATTAAAGAACTAAAAATATGTATAAAAATAAAATAAAATTGAACGGAATCTTATATGGACTCACATGTGCTATTTTTAAAGGCGTGCCTTCAAGGGATGGAAATATGCCCTGGCTCTACGTCGTCATCCCGCTCCCGCTCTGATTCGTGCAGATTTCTCCCACTCTAATAAGAAAACAGAGAGTTAAGATTCTGTCCTCGCACTCTCTTCTTACCTTCCTACTTGTAACGGTGGAGATACATTTTGAATTGATCCAACAGTTCAGATTTAGTTATTTAAAAATAATAAAATAATAAAATAAATTCAAATTTGGTTTTCCTATCCAAATCTGAACTGTTGGATTAACTCAAAATACATCTCTATCGTTGCAAGTAGAAAGGCAAGAAGAGAGTTCAAGGAGAAGATCTCAACTCGAAAAGAGAAGGGAAATAGTATTTACCTTGTTTGATTTCTCCCACTCCAATAAGAAAAATGGAATGGGAAATGGTATTCACCTTATTTGATTTTAATTTTTTACATTCACCTTTTAAAAAATTATATTTTTTATTTTTTGTATTTTCTTTTTGTTTTTATTGAATTTTTGTAATATTTTAAATAATTATTTTATTTTTGATATACCTAATATAAATACGCTTAAAAGTATAATATTTGTGAAAAAAATATTTAAAAAATTCACTAAATACTAAAAATATAAAAATAAATAAATAACAAAATCCAGTATATTTTTGTATTCTTAGGGATTTATTGATTTTAAAAAAAAAAATTTGACATATATTTTATTTTTTAGGTATATCTAGGTAATGTGCATCTAAAAATTAAAAAAAATACTTAAAATTTAAAAAATATTCACTAAAAAAAAACTCAATTTAAAAAAAATTAAATTCAGAAATTTGAAATCAAAATAAGATTTGCTTTCCCTGTCCTGTTTTTCTCCATCCTTTTTTTTTTTTTTTTTTTGTTACCAGGAAAAATTCTCCACTCTCCCGCAGGTCACCGATCCAGGCAAGAGCCCTTGGGGAGACAATCCACCAGTGGCGAAAACCCATATTCTGAATTGATAAGTCGTTCCGAGTTACGAGAACAGTATAACCTGGAGTCTGATGTCCCGACCTCCACAACACCACCGGCAGAGCTACCGTCTTAAAGTTCAGGCACTCAGCAGCGGGACGAGAATAAACCCACACAAGTAGTTCGATAAGCATTCCTTGAACCTCCCAAGGCAAGCTCCGCTTTAAATCAGGACTCGCACAGCGGGGGAGAATTAAACCCACACCAAGTAGCTGATAAGGCAT